GCAGGAATGTCACTTAAGCGTTGGACTTGGTCTCTCATTGCTCGCTTTTTTGCCCGACTTCGTGGATAAGCCTCAAATCTGTTCTTGGACTCTGTAGGAACCTGGAAGGAAAGGTGTTTTTTAAAGAAACCTGATTTTATTTTTCTGCGCGTTGCTACCTCACTATCCAGTGCAAGACGGGTATGCTGATGAGTAAGTACTGTGACTCTCCTGAGTTTCACTTTTACCATCAAAGGTTATATGTAACAGCAAGTGCCACATCTTAGCTGCCTGCCGGGAGAGCAACCAGCGCTTGCAAGTGGCTTTACCTGCCGCCTGCTGTTGGCTCAAGCGAGCCTCCCTTGCACATAGGTGTTGTCCTTCTTTGTACTTTCTCTTTTTCTCCTTCCAAAAGGGGAGTTTTTTGCAAGCCAAAAATCTCCAGGCAGTGCAATAAGTGGTTCAGAAAAGGATGGTTGGTGGTTTCTTCATCTCGTGATTGAAATGGGTTGTATCCACAGCTGATTTGAACTTGTGACAGCAAATCGAGCTTGTCATTCTTTGCAGGGACTCTTAAGGTCAAAACACTCTAGGTCACAGTCCTTGAATTACTTATCTTTAGCGTGGCGTAACAGGCTGTCTTTTGTGTATATATACATGACATAATGTAAAGCAGTGTAAATAAGAAACGTGCATGCAGTTCAACTAGCAAATGTTAGTGACAAAGTAGAAGCTGAGTGGACAGCTTCAGGTTGTTTCATGTTTTCTGAGTATCTTGGGGACATAACTGGGTGCTCACAGGTTAGCTGTGCTTGCCCGTGTTCTTGTGAACGGACATGTGCTTTAAGATGCAAAGAGTTGTCTTGAATATTTGTGCACCATGTGGCCTGGGGAGGATGTGTATGAGCATGGCTGTTATTGCTTAGATCTACTACCTAAGTGGATGGGAATGAGGAAAATGCCTGCAAGCTGCATCCAGGTGGCTACTGATGAGGTTTTTGTATTTCTGTCTTGGGTAGGGGCTGTTATTGCTTAGATCTACTACCTAAATGGATGGGAATGAGGAAAATGCCCGCAAGCTGCGTCCAGGTGGCTACTGATGAGATTTTTGTATTTCTGTCTTAGGTAGGAGTGAGGGGAGCAGTAATGACACCCTACAGTGAAGGGAACTAGTGCTCCTGAGGGCAACTCAAGCAAGTGCTTGAAAGAGCCCTGCAGTCACTCAGCAGTCACTTTTTTTCTGCCTGCCACCCAGCAAAGCACGCACAGCTACATTAGCCTTTGCCAGGTCTTAAGAGCCCTTGGATTGTGGGAGGAGTGAGCGGGATCAAATCAAATGAAGGAAACTAAGAAAGTAACTAATTTTGTGATTTGTGAGCTGCAGCTAGAGAGAGGATAGTGTCTTTCCTGGCCGTTGTGTTGGACCTGGAACCGCAGAGGCCCTTTGCAAGCAGAGAAATGCAAGCACTAGTGCAGTGACCCTTTCAGCTTGCGCTCGGATAGAGAGGAAAGTCTTGGGTTTTTTGCCTCCTTTCAATCACTGAAGCACAGCAAAGTGACCCTGTGCAATAGGTATGTTGTCCGTTCTGCTGTATGGCTCTTGCTGAAGGGTAATGGAAACCAAGGCAGGAATCTCCTGGTGCCGGGGCTGGTGAGCAGTATTGCAGATAGCTGAAACACAGTGTCTGCTCAGCTTGTAAACTTGGAAGGAGAGGACAGTTTGCAGATGATTCATAGTCACACTGGGCACACAGAGGTGTCTGGTACAGAGGGATTGAAATAAGGTGTGTTTATTTCAAGAAAATATCAGCCATACCAATCTTGAACTGCTTGGCCCTGTTTTATTCCTTCCTGCCAAGTCTTTATTTTGCTAGAAATATGGTATCTAGTGTAGATTAAATTCTGTTCCAGAATAACAAGTTAATTCAAAGATGCTCAATTCTAGATCAAGTGTCCAGATAAAGAATGATTGTATGTATCCCTTGTACAGGAAAACATAGGATATAACGGACTGTGGAGTGATATGTAGGCATAGAATACAATAGAACAAAGCTAGTGAGAAAGAAGTGTTTTGGCAGATGATTTCTATCGCTAAATGAATGCCAAATGTTCTAGTCATGCCTTGGTGATTATTGTACTAATTTTGGGATGCTTTACATACCTTTAGAGCTTGCAGAAGAATGATGTATGTGAGAGGGATAAATTGGAGCAACTTGATAGTGGAATCTGTCCCAATGGTAGCATCCTTCCTTTGGAAGCATTTTCTTTCTTACAGTTTTGCAGGCAGAAAGTGAAATACAGGTCTGTGAAGACAGTGGCCTTGTCAGTGTTACTTCGAACTCACTGAACTGCTTCCTTTAAGTATCCCAGGGGTAGGGGAGTTGGAGCGTAACTGTTTTCAGGGATTTTCCTAGCCTGACTTAGCAAAGCAGGCAGAAAGTGAAGCAGCAGCCCAGACAGAAACTTGTTAAAATAACTGACATTGACGCTCTGCTTGGGGAGAAGGTAACTGTTACTGCTTCCTTTCTCGGAAAGGGCACTATGTGTATTGACAGAACGCTTAAATTTCAAAGCAAGTGATAAGGCCCATGATGAAGTGCTGCGCACGAAAGGCTGCACAGAGGGCTGACCCAGAGCAGGACACCTGGGTGGTGCTGCAGGACAGAAGGTGGATGATGCTTGTCTTTGTAGTTGCTGCTGTTCCCATATCAGTCTCAACATTTTTTTCCTTAAGAATATGAGCTTCAAAAGTTAGCCCTTTTTTTTCTATGTAGTTATGAGTATGAGTTATGTGTTTGAGTATAATTTCCCGGTAAGGTGGCTTGCTGTGACAGTGGAACTCTTGATGACTCTCAGCTCTACAAGTCTGTGCTCATCACACAACTTGTGCGAAGGTATTCACCGTTTGAGTTTATGCTGCCCAGCTCAAAGCATGCTGCTAAACTGCTTCGCACTTTCTAGGGTGGATTAATGCTTGTAGATTTTGTGTGCTCACTAATTTAGTGGTTAGTAATCCACTAAATTGTGTAAAATAAATTAGAAATGGTTCATAGGCCTCTGGAGAAGCATGGGGTAAAAAGCATGTTGCCTTGTAATGAAACCTCTCCTGTCTGTGCCTCTGCAGTATCAACAGTGAGGCTGACTTCTACAGTCTTGCTTACAAGTTGTTTTTGGATTTTTTT